CGATCCCAGACTTCTGACGTCTTGATCAAAATCAAGACGGAAGTCTTTCGTGGGTATCGCCGTCTGGAGGCCAGTTTCGGGCCGTCAGACGACGATCTGGGCAGGGGCCGCGCATCGGAGCAAAAATCGGTTGCGGCTTCGGATTCGGAGGCAGAAGAAGAAGAGGACAACTGATACTAATAGTAATCATAATGATAGTAAGAATAATCAGGATAAACATAAGAAGAAACATAATGCTAAGAAAAATAATTAGCCTGGCGAAGGACCCAACCATATGCAGTTGAGAGTACCGCAATTGTGAATATCTTCTTCGGTGGCGCTCCCTATGGGGCCACGAGCCGTATGAGGGGTGTGCCGAAATGCGTGGCAGTGTACACAACACGAACGAAGACGATAGGTCCGAATATGAAAGCTTGAGCGCGTGCGAGTCGGATCGCGAGCGAGTCTGATTATGAATGAATCTGCGCGCGATTGATTCTATTCGCATGAATGCGTGCATGGATACGCCCAGTGTAAATGTATGTATACGACTGTGAACAGTTTGGGTCTGCGTGACTCTCGGTACTCGTGACTCTGAGCGTCGCCTCTGCAGGGGGCTTCCCTGGGAACCCCGACGGCAGCGCCCGCGCGCCGCGACGCCCATGTCGGCACGCCACACACCTGGTGTGCGGGACGCATGCGGACGGCAGCACTGGGGCCTTCGGTGGAGCTCCCTGTGGGGCCACGAAACGTGTGAGGGGTGTGCCGAAATGGGTGTGCGGGACGCATGCGGACGGCAGCCCTTCGGTGGAGCTCCCTATGGGGCCACGAAACGTGTGAGGGGTGTGCCGAAATGGGTGTGCGGGACGCATGCGGACGGCAGCACTGGGGCCTTCGGTGGAGCGCCTGTGGGGCCACGAAACGTGTGAGGGGTGTGCCGATATGGGTGTGCGGGACGCATGCGGACGGCAGCCATGGGGCCTTCGGTGGAGCTCCCTATGGGGCCACGAAACGTGTGAGGGGTGTGCCGAAATGGGTGTGCGGGACGCATGCGGACGGCAGCACTGGGGCCTTCGGTGGAGCTCCCTGTGGGGCCACGAAACGTGTGAGGGGTGTGCCGAAATGGGTGTGCGGGACGCATGCGGACGGCAGCCATGGGGCCTTCGGTGGAGCTCCCTATGGGGCCACGAAACGTGTGAGGGGTGTGCCGAAATGGGTGTGCGGGACGCATGCGGACGGCAGCACTGGGGCCTTCGGTGGAGCTCCCTGTGGGGCCACGAAACGTGTGAGGGGTGTGCCGAAATGGGTGTGCGGGACGCATGCGGACGGCAGCCATGGGGCCTTCGGTGGAGCTCCCTGTGGGGCCACGAAACGTGTGAGGGGTGTGCCGAAATGGGTGTGCGGGACGCATGCGGACGGCAGCCATGGGGCCTTCGGTGGAGCTCCCTGTGGGGCCACGAAACGTGTGAGGGGTGTGCCGAAATGGGTGTGCGGGACGCATGCGGACGGCAGCCATGGGGCCTTCGGTGGAGCTCCCTATGGGGCCACGAAACGTGTGAGGGGTGTGCCGAAATGGGTGTGCGGGACGCATGCGGACGGCAGCACTGGGGCCTTCGGTGGAGCTCCCTGTGGGGCCACGAAACGTGTGAGGGGTGTGCCGAAGTGATGGGGTGATGATGATGACGAGATGATGATGATGATGATGATGATGATGATGATGATGATGATGATGATGATGATGATGATGATGATGATGATGATGATGATGATGATGATGATGATGATGATGATGATGATGATGATGATGATGATGATGATGGGAGGAGGGAGGAGGGGGAGGAGGAGGAGAGGAGGAGGAGACGCGGGCCACCGTCTCTTCAAAACGAGGACCCAACAACACAGGTTGGTTGGGAATAAGAAGAAGAAGACGCGACACCACCACCAGGGGGTGGCACGTCCAGCGAGATCTCCGATATCTCGCTGAGCTAGAGACTGGAGATGTCTCGAGCAGGGAGGGCGGACCACGCCACCAGGAGAACTCCCCCTGGCTCCTCGCGCTGGCAGTGGTGATGATGGCGTCGGTCTTCCCAATTCTTACAGATTCCAGGGATCCAGTTGTTCTAGTGGTTCACTTGTCTGGGTTTCCGGAAGTCTTCAAATTTCAGACAGTTCTCAGGGCTTCCGGTGCCCCCGCTTCGGCGCTGCAGGCGCTGGGGTGGGACTAGTGGTTATTGGTTGTCTTCGTCGGCATCTGGAAGCCTTCGAGATGTGATTGCCTACGAGCGAGTTTTGCTTGTAAATGCTGGAGCTGGCCAGAATTTGGGCCGACTTCCGCCTCATTCCCAGGCTTCCGTCGCCTTGGGAAAACCAGGGTGGGGGGCGGGGCTTCTGGCATTCTCGGCATCTGGTGGCTGCTTTCGGTCCCCGCGGCCGTCGAAAGCCGATCAAGGGCTGAATTACGGACTCCCGTATGTAATGTATGTCCACTATGCCGTTTCAGGGGTTCCAGTGAGCGGAGGAAGCGGCTCTTTTTCCTTCTGGTCTTCGTCCCCTCCTCGTCGTCCCCCTTGCCCTCCCCATCCCTTCCTGCTCCTCCGCTCCTCCTCCCCAGAGGACCGAAAACCTCCATCCTAGAGGTCGAACTTCCGTTATAGGAAAAGACATCCATAACGGAGGAAAAGAAACGCCTGCAGAACGGAGGCCGAACCTCCATTTTGAAGGTCTTTGCTGGTCGTCTGCACCCCTTGCCGGAGCCCCCAAGCCAGCACGCTCGAGTACTGAAGACATCCTGGGGCAACGACGGGGAGTCGGCGTCGGAGGCCTGCGTTGGGGGTGCCGCCGCCGGCGTCCCAAGGGGGGAGCTCGCCGCTGTTGGCCGGGCCCGCGCGGCTCTCCCTGAGGGGGCTCGGGGCTCTCGTGTTCCCCGCTCGTCCCCTCCGCCCCTGGCCCCTCGTCCCGTTACTCCCTCTCCCGTCAGCCCGGGGCCTTGGGGCTGGCCTCGCTTCCCCCTCCCTCTCCCCCCCCCCTCTTGCGGTTTTGGGCTGCGGCCAAGACGCTGGAATAAGGGCGACTTTGGGCTCTGGTTTGCAAGCCGCTCCTTTGATCTAGGTCGGGAATCCGGTTTGTGGCCGAGGCTCGCAGTGGCCAGAGAAGCCCCTTCCCTCCTTATTCAGCGTTCCCTGTGGTAGCACGATGGCTGCAGCGGAAGAGCAGCTGCTCCTTGATTTCTGTCATCTTGGAATCCTCTGCTGCTGCCTCCCTGCGAACGGCGCCGAGTCCCCGCGATGCTGCTGCCCGAGCTTGCCTCGGCCGCCGGCTCCAGAGCGCCCAGTCCGGCGGTCGAGGGTGCCCCCGCCTGGACTGGTGGAGCTTTTGGTTTTTTTCTCGCCTGCCTCCTCCTCGATCCTCCTCCTCGATCCTCCTCCTCGAGCCTCCTCCTCGAGCCTCCTCCTCCTCCTCCTCCTCCTCCTCCTCCTCCTCCTCCTCCTCCTCCTCCCCTCGATGCCTCGATCCTCGTTCGTCGATCGTCGATCGTCCCACTCGATCCCCGATCGGCCTTCCCTGGGGCCAAGCCTGGACTCGGGGGCCGGTCCGGCAAGCTGGCTGCGAGCGCGTGTCATCACGGAGCCCCCAGCGGCGTCGTCCCCCGCCCGCTTCACGTGGGGCGTTCCAGAGAGGGCCTCGCCTTCGACGGATCAAGAGGTTAGTAGCTATATTCCTCGGCGGGAGGCCGGCGGAAGTAAAGCGAGGGCGGCTCCGCGGAAGTGGAGAATCGGCTCTCCAAGAGATGCCCAGACTTTTGAAGAGTTCTGGGTTTTCAGAACAGGGCACATGCGGCGGCGGCCTGAGCAGCAAGATCCAACGGCCATCAAACTAATGCAGCAGTCGATCGAAGCACGATCACTTGTATCAGTGTAGCACCTTTCGGTGGAGTCGGGCAGTCTTCGCCTGCCCTATCGAAGAAGAAGACTACCATAAAGATACACGTTCGGAGTTTCGCGCGGATTGCTTGGATCGCGGCTGGACCCTGCTGCCTGTGTCTCAGGCGCCTCTGCGCGGACCTTCGAAAGCACATGTCTGCGCAGCTTGCCCTTCGCTCGCTCTGCTCTTCTCCACCGGGCTCGCCGCCGACCCAGGTTGAACGATCCATGCGGTGTCGGAAACCAACGTCGGGGCCGTCACGGCAAGAACCTGCCCTGCGCAGAGGGAAACCGAATTGCCTGACCAGATGAGCTCCTGGAGCTCCGCGCGGATGTCTTGGATCTTCCGTGCGCCGACCCCAACGGAGGCCCCGCAGTCGGCTTCAAACTGTGCGCGCGCGGCCCGTTTTGCCCCCCCTTCATGGCCAGCCGCCGTGGCCCCCGCTCGATACAGCCCGCTTCCCCGAGGGCACCCGGGCCCAGATGCTGGACCCGCGGGGGTCCAGACCTCGAAATTCGTGTGAGCTTGGATGATTGTGCTTACCCCCGTCCGCAGTTTGTGCAGAGCCTGGGTGTCGCCCGTGGCCCCGTGATATTGCCCGCAACCGGTTTGCGCGTACGGGGTCCCTGTCAGTGAGCCGTGAGGGCGCAACCCTTGACTTGACTTGAGACACCGAGGCGCAGACATCCGACGGACCGACTGCTCCAGTCCGCAGGCCCTGGAGGCCTCGACGCCCCCGTCCCCGGGGGGCAGCTTGTCCGCCCTCCGGGACGAGCTCCTGGTGGCACCGGGTCCCGAAGGCTGCCCCCGCAGTTCACCACCCACCAAAGCACCCCAACCCAACCCGAAGGCCTCAATTTGCCCTCCATTTTCAGTTGGGGGGGGGGCGGGAAACATTTTAAACAAAAACAACATGAAGCCCGTGCCCCCCCCAACCCGAAATTCGGGTCTTCGGGTTGGGTTGGGGTGGTCTGGTAGGTAGTCAGCAGTCGAACGGCGAGGAGGAACGGCGGCGCGGAACGAGCCACTCCTTCGGAGGCCCGAGTGGGCCGTCGCCTGCCGGCAGCGACGCGGCGCGCAGCGGCCCGCACCTGCCCGAGGCCCGGGCCTCTGGCCGTCGGAGTCGGCCGGCGGCATGCAGCACGCCGCCCCGATGAAGGCACCGCTGCGGGGCCGTGGCCAGACTTTCGGGGGACGTCAATCGGGGGCGTCGAAGAGGTGGGTGGCGGCTACACTCAGGGGGGGAAGTCGCCGTTCGTTCTTGGAGGTCTTGTTGTCTCTGGATGCTCTCCAGCAGTTGCGCCTGGTCGAGAGCTTTCTGGGGGTACCGAGATCGTCCCGAACAGCCGCCGGAGACCAGAGTTTTGACCCAGCCAGGCATCGAGGGGGTGAGACCCAGGGGGGGATATATCATGATATGGGGCCATGAAATCTACTAGATTTCAGGCCCCCCTGTCCTCCTCCTTCTGCTTTCATTGTTGTTTGTGTTCTTCTTCTTCTTCTTCTTCTTCTTCTTCTTCTTTGTTCAATACGTCCCCTGGCCCTCTCTCGCCCGCGCGCACGACTTGAGCCATCATGAGCTACCCCGCATCTTTCTGGCCCCCCTCTTCGGCGCATTGGAGTAAACTGACTACCACACCGGCCCTGCCCAGAAGATCCAACACCTCAATTCTGGATGTCGTGCCTCCGTGCTGGAGGAAAGAAACTTCAGAATGGGTGAACTAATGATCCAGAATAAGAGTCGCATCTGCATTCTAGAGGTTTTCGATGCTATGGGAGTCTGGGCCCGGGCTGGGACTGGCCAGGATCGGTGAGGCGGTCGGTTGATGCCCCCCCGAGACGTTCGGGAGAAGAGCGTGCGTGCTTCAGTATGCAACTTCAGGGGATCAGTGAGCGGGGCAAGTTGCTCTTCCTCCTCATCCTCCTCATCCTGCGCCTCCTCCTCCTCTTCCTCCTTCCCCTCCGCTCCATTCCTTCCTTCTCACCAGAGTTACTGCAGCCCCGCTCACAGGACTTGTCGTGTGCTCCTTTATTGCATATTCGAGCCGCGTCGATGCGACGGCGACGCTGGCGCGGGCGTTCACGGTTGAACGCCGCCTGTGGCCCAGAATCGGCCGATGCCGCCAGACAGCGATGTCGGAAAGCCGCGGTAGTTCAAGTTCAAACAATCCATGCGATGCCAGAAAGCAGCGCCGACGTCATCGCGACGTCAACCTGCCAGATGCAGTTTCAGGGGTTGAGTGAGCGTGGTAAGTTGTTCTTCCTTATCCTGCTCCTCCTCCCCATCCTCATTGCCCCCCCCCACCCCCCACTTCGCTCCCTCCTCCCCACCTCCTAGAGTGTCTGAGAGAGATGGGGAGAGGAGGAGGAGGAGGAGGACGAGGAGGAGGAGGAGGAGGATGATGATGATGATGAGGAGGAGGAGGAGGAGGAGGAGGAGGAGGAGTAGGAGGAGGTCGCCGATTTGTCCAGGTCCGATGTTCTGGCTTCGTATTGCAGTTGAGACAACGGCGGTTATTCTCCCGGGGTCCACACGCTTCAGTTTTCCGAGCTGTGTCCAACCGCGGCGGCGAGGGGGCTCCCCGAAGGCCAAGAAGGCGACCCTTGACTCAAGTGCCCTCCCTAATCGAAGGCTCCCGGAAGCTCCGGAACTTCGGGCCATAGTTCGGGCCTCCAGAGTTTAGCCTCCGCCCGTGGCATGGCCGTCGGCCCTGGCGGACCGACTGATCGTCTAGGTCGTCGGCCGAAAACTGATAGCAACTAGCACTTTTGTCATGTGAATGCGCCCCTTCTTTGGCGCTGCGGGCGATCAGGCTCGCCTTCTCTAGCGTCTTGCTATAGCGCCTTGTAGTCAACATATGTGTTTTCACCGGGGCTGCGACGGGAATCAAACGGTGGTGATTGGAAGCCCCCTGGAGGCCGAAATAGAGCGACCACAAACCTCGAGCCTCGAACCCCTACCTGCCTCCCTTCCTTCCCCTCCCTCGTCATGCGGGAGGTGGCGTAAGTGGCGAGTATCGAACTCAGTGCACCACCTTCCTGGCCAAGCCGTTCATATGGGTCACGCTCGCGCCCAGCCGTTTGTCGCACACACACGCACAAACACACACATACACACATCGCTAAAACAGTCAGCTAACGGGCTTTCTAACACGCCCTGAGGTGCAGATGACACTGTGTACCCCTTTGGGCTCTAGTCTCTTCGCATGCGCTGAGAGGCAAGCGTCCACTCCCAAGAGGGCTCCAAGAGGCCAGAATCGTTCAATTCCTATTGGGAAACGTACATGTTCAACATATGCGACGCTTCGGCCTTCACGGGTTTGACGACGGCCCAAAAAGCTCCGAAGACTTGCCCAAGAGTGCCTAAAGCAGTCCCAAGAGGCCCTCAAGACAGACCAAGAGGGCGGCCCAAGGTCTGCACAAGACGGCCCAAGTTAGCCCCAAAACGGGCCCCAAGAAGGCCGAACAAGGCCCCGAGTCGCCCAAGACGGCCCAAGTTGGTCCCGAGACGGTCGAAGAAGTCTCCGAGACGTCCCAAGAGGCCTGCCAGAGGGCGGGGGTGGGGTGGTGCCACCTGTTGGCATGGCCGCCCCAGGCGTCCTGTGGGGTCCACGATCCCGCCCAAGACGGCCCAAGAGGCCCCAAAGACAGCAGCCCAAGAGGCCCACAAGACAGCATCAGCGAGGCCAAGAGGGCCCCAAGACGCCCAAGAGCGCCCCAAGAGGGCCCGAGATGGCTCGAAGATGGCCGAAGAGGGCCCCAAGAGGGCTTTCAAGAGGCAAAAAGTCTACCGATTCCTTTCGTAAAGCGTGCGTTTTCAGCATACTCGCTTGCTTCGTCTTCACAGTGCCCCAGACGCCCCCGAAGAGCCCCAAGAGGGCCCAAGACGGCCCAAAAGGGTCGTCCTGTGGGGCTCACGGAATCCCCCAAGACGGCCCAAGAGGCCCAAAAGCCGGCCCAGGAGGCCCCCAAGACGGGTCACCCTCGTGGCAGAGGGCACACGGAACCCGGCTCCGAGGGTCAACGTCGCCACGTTATTCGCCGAAGTTGGGGAGCTCTAGACTGGACCGACACCTCCGTTGGATGCTGGCGAGCTCCCTGGTACTCCCCACGATGGCGGTCCCCGAGGAGAGGCTGCGGCACCGCGCACAGGACAAGAAGACGGGGAGGACCCATCGGCGGAACGAAGCGGAGCGCAGCCATTCGGTGGACATGGGCACCCGAGCACGAGCCGAGGGGGACCTGTCTTTGCTGCCCTTCTCCGTCGCGGCCAAGGCGGCACTGGGCTGCTACATTCCCAACGTGCGGCGCTTCTTGCAATGCGCCCTGCAGCATGACCTGCCGATGATGACGATGCGAGTTTCTGGGCAGGTCGAGGTCGCCGAGGGGTTCGAGCTGGCGCTGGGCGCCTACCTCCGCTCGGCCGAGCTCCTCAGCCTGCGAGTCGGGGGCGCGATGGTCACCGACGGCGCCGACGGGGAACCCGCGGTCGCGCTCCGCCTCGGGGTGATCGAGCGGGGCGGGCGCGCCAAGACGGGCGCGAGGCGGGGCGCCCCGATCGACCGTGAGCACGTGGCCCAGATGGCATTGCGACGGCGAGGTTCGAGAAAGCAGGACGAACTACTCTTCAGCACGACGGCTGACCGCTGCCGACGTGTCCTGCGGAGCGGCAGCTTTTCCGGCCCACTCGGCCCGCCACTCTGGGCCGAGCCACGACGCGGCAGTTGGCTGCGGGGCGGCGTGGCAGATGCAATGGAGAGGGCGGTGGGCATCGGAGAAGAGTGCGATGAGATACATGAAAACCCGCGCCCCGGTCGCAGCGAGACGGGTCGCGCCGGCAGACGTCCTCGAGAAAGGCGCAGAGCTGCTCCGCGCCAGTCGGCGCCCTGAGCAGGCGCGAGAATGATGAGCGTTTGGCCAATGAGCGGTTCGCTTCAGCTCAAGTTTTTGTCAATTCATGTTGCGGCCGTACCTGTGCGCCCTCCCGCCCAGCCTGGAACGTCACGGCCAGACGCTGGCCATGCTGCGCGGGGCAGCGGGGCCTGTTCGCGCGTCGCGACAGGCCCAACAGCTCCATCCACCAGCGCGCGATGCTCGCCTCAGCATCGCGCGCGAGGCCTCTCGCTGGAGGAAATTGACGCGTCTTTGCTGGCGCCGCCTTTCGCAGCCCCCCTCTCTCACGTGAGGCGATTTTGACGGGTGCCTCTAAATGTGCGTTGTCCTTGGATAATGAGTTTTCCGGGCCTCGTCTTTCATCTCCTCCCCCCGCCCCCTTAAGTGGGCGGGGCAGCGGGGCGTTCGTGAGGGGGCGGGGGGCGTTTGTAGATGAAGGTGGTGCCGTCCCGAGTGTATCGCGTTCAAGTTGTGTGCCCCCGTCTCAAGCTCTCACCCCCTCCTCTCCCGCTTTCGGCTTGATGGGTGGTCTCGGGGACTTGGGGCAGCGGGGCCTGTTCGCGCGTCGCGATGGGCCCAAACGCTTCATCCACAAGCGCGCGATGCTCGCCCCCGCATCGTGCGCGAGGCCTCTTACTCGAGGAAAATGTCTGATTTGCCTTAGCTGGCGCCACCTTCCACCGCCCCCTCTCTCGCGTAAGGTGATTTTGACGGGTGCCACTAAATGTTCTTTCTCCGTTGGCCTGGCTCGCCGTGTCCTATCGCAATTTCGCGATGTTGCCCCCCCCCCCCCCCCCGCGCCGCGCCGTCAGATGGGGCGACCGCGCGCGCCCACGGGCTCAATCCGACCGCCCGCCCACACGCGTCGCGCCCGACAGTGGGGAACCAGCCAGCATTGCCGGGCGCTACGCGCATCGCACCACGTAGCGCGCGCCGCGTGGAGTCCAGCGCATAGATTGCCCCGCATAGATTGCAGTACGTAGCTCGCGCTGGCCAACGTGCTTCGGGGGTGCCTCCTATTCCTGCCCGTCGCCCTGCCCCCCTGCTCCTCTTCGTCCACCATTTCCGCCCTTTCCAGCCCTGGCAACCCTTCTCCTCATCCCCCTGTTCAGTCTCCCTCCTCCGCCCCTCCCTGCTCATTTTCCCGCCACCTCCTCCTACTCCTCCTCCTCCTCCTCCTCCTCCTCCTCCTCCTCCTCCTCCTCCTCCTCCTCCTCCCCCCTCCTCCTCCTCCTCCTCCCTCCTCCTCCTCCTCCTCCTCCTCCTCCTCCTCCTCATCATCATCATCATCATCATCCTCATCATCCTCATCCTCATCCTCCTCATCCCATCCTCATCCTCCCCCCCCTCCCCCTTGTCTTCCTCCTCCTCCCCCTCCTCCCCGCCCTCCCCCTCCCATCTCTCCGACTCCAGCCCCCGAATTTCCGACTATCCCATCCCATCTTTCCGACTCGGGCTCCATCGCTGGATCCCATTTCTCCGGCTCCCGTTCCGACCCGGGCTCGCATCCTTCCGACCCGGGGTCCGATTCCGGCCCCCATTTTCCGACTCCAACTTCCATCCTCTATTTCATTTTTCCGGGTCCGGCTCCGCTCCTGGATCCCGGCTCCCTTCCTGGATCCCATGTCTCCGACTTCGGCTCCGATTATAGCTCCTAAATGTGCGACTGCCATGCGACCATGCGAGCGGAAAGCACCAACGATGGCTTCACTATCCACGGTGCGCACATTTGACGATTCCGACAACAAGGATGCCTCTCCCTCCTCCCTCCCCTCTTCTGACGCACGTAATTTGTTATGTGCCTCGAACGCATGCTTTGCCATGCGCCGCAGTATCTCGGCGCCGCGGCGCCACCGCTCTGTTCCCAGCGGGGCCGCGCCCCGGCGCGCGCGCGCGAGCGTCCCCCCGCCCCTTCCTCCTCGTCCTCCTCCTTCTCCTCCTCCCTCCCCATCCGCGCCCCCCTCTGATCCCGTTCAGTTGAAGGGCGAAAGCCCTGTCGGCCTTGCGCGACAATCCGTTGGAGCGACGAAGCGCGCCCCCTGGTGCCCGCCCCCGCGCAGCGAGAAGGCGCGACGCGCGGCGTGGATGCTGGCATGAATTCCGGCATGAATCCGGCGCGAATTCGGCATGAAAATGTCATGGCAAATTTGCATGGCCAACATTCATTTTTAATGATGCACAACAAATTTGCGCCGCATTTTTGTCACGCGCGTGATTTCGTGGTCGTCGCGCCACTCTGGGCGCCCTCTGGCAACTTTTTCATGCCGCCCCGCGGCTTCTCTCTCCAGTTCTCAGGCGGACGCGAGGCGAATGGTCTCCACCCTCGCCCCCCCTGGGCCTTGGACGTGGTTGGCCAAATCAGCGGCGCGTCGTTGAACATCCGACGCGTCGACGTAAGATTGTCGGTCCCCGGGGGCGGGAGCGCGCTATCCTTCGCCCCCGCGACGCGCCTCCGCGTCGAAAAACATGCGGCGCCGATCGATGGCACCGCGGGCGGGCCAACGCGGAAACGTGGCCCTCAGCGTCCGCCGCTGCGCCCTCGGCGCCGGCGCCGAGTCCCCGGGCGTCTGGGGCGCGTGCGAGCTGCTCGAAAGGGACCTTCGGTTGAGCTCGTTTTGGTGCGACGACGCGCGCGAGGGGGTGCGCCGATATGGGCCCGTCCGAACAGCGGCAGCGGAACGTTCGGCGGGGCTCCCATCGGGGCCCTTCGCGCTAAACTTGCAGGATGGCCCAGGGAGCCTCAGAGGACCTTTGAGTGGTCAGTTCGGCAGCCCCCGCGCGGGCTGGGCAGGGGCGGGCGCGTCTTCTCCGAGCGGCGCAAAGCAAGTCTCCAAGCGCATCGAGCTGGCCCGCGGGGCCCGGTGGGTTCCCTGAGGCGCATTGGGACTTGAGGTATGGTTTTGCCTAGGTGTGCTCATCGTTTCAGGTCGGTCAAACAATGCTTCCCTGCATGTGGCATTTCAAGTTGCCTGGTCGCGATTGTCGTTGTGCCCCTGGCGCTGCCTTAGTGATCTGGATGATGCTTCCATCCCGCGGCCGTCATATTTTCCACGACTGGCGTTCGGCCCACAACAGCCCCTGCTCGACATCGCCGCCCGGCCAGCCAATATCATTTGAGACAGCTTCTGCGGGTCCGCGGGGGCCGACGCGCGACGCGCTCAGCGGAGCGCGGCGCCGAGCCGACGCGGCGGGGCCCGGGGCTTGAGGTCAAGCGCGAGTCGTCCGGCACCCGTGGCGTTGGCGCCCCGGAGTTAGTGGTCATGCTGTCCGAGCGCGTTGACGACCTCAAGATGGCAGGACGCAGGGGGCGCGTCGAGCGTCTCATCTGCCACATCGAGAGCGCATTCGGCACGAGGAAGGGGGGCTACGACCACTTCGCCCACTGCGGCGTCCTCCAACACCGCAGCGTCGACGGTGGCGCGACACTCGACCAGGACGAGTGCATCGACGCGCTGCGCCCATGAGGCACGCTGACCTGCTCAAGTCGATGGCCGACGAGCCCGCCGAGGGTCCACTCCCGAACTTGTTTGCCCCCCTACTCTGGGCAGCTTCCCGCGCGCTGCTCGCGCGGCGCCGCGGCGCCGCGCGCGTCGTCGCGCTGGAGCAGGCCAAGAGCGAGCTGCTAGTCAGGCGCATCGTGCAGCTGAACTCTGTTCTGGCCACGCAGAAGATCAAGGCGCGCGTCGTCTACCCGACGATGGAGTGCGCTAGCCAGATCTGCGCGCACTGCGACGGCTTTTTCAAGCGCGAGGAGGAGACGGGTTATAGCACGAGGGACGCCGAGAACATGCGTCTGGGCACGTGCCGCAGCATTGTTACACGGTTCTGCCACTTACCCGACGCTGTGGGCCGATCGCACAAATTCGCGCGTGGATCATCATTCGGCCCCGGGCTGCTCGCGAGATGCGAAGCAGCTGACAGGCCGCAGGCGCGCCTCCTCGCGCTTCGCGAGATGGCGCGAGGACTCGCCGTGGCAGACGAGATCAGGAAGCTGAGGGGGAAGTGGTGGTCGCGCTTTGCCGGCCGAGCTCGTCGCGGACGGCTCGACTGTCTTCTCGGCGCTGCCGTGGGCCGCGTGCGCCCGCCGCCGGAGAACGGCACGGCAGGCCGCCTGCTGTGGCAAGCGGGCCAGCTTCGCACCGAGCAGTTGTCTGACACGTTGCGGCGCGACGCCCGCGACATGTGAGCAGATCCCACGGCGAAGGGGGGCATCGACAGAGTTCGCCCTTGACGACGCGGAGGGCAAGCTCGTCTACGCCCACCCCGCAGCGCGGCTGAGCGAGGAGCGCGACAGAAGGCCGCTCCAAGATCCAGCTACAGCGACCTCGTCCGTAGCGGGGGCGACTGGTGACCAGATTGCCGACGCAGGTTCGCGACCTTGACGTCGGCGCGCCGGTCAAAGGGGGAAACGTGGCAACAGAAAGCCGGCGGCCGCCGGCACCGCGCAGGGGGGCAATTTGGCGATAGAAAGTTGGCGGGCAACAAGGCGAACTGCTATCGCAAAATGCGACGTTGCAAACCACGTTGGTGAGTGGCTGCTCTCTTGAAGTGTGTTCGAGAAGCAGCAGGTGAGTTGATTGACCGTTTCCTCGGTGAACCGTTTGCTGCTATTGTTGGAGAGGTTGGCTGACTTGTCATGGTTAGTCCCATGGCCAATGAAGGGAGCAACTCCGCCCCTGCCACGGGCGCCATAACGTTTTTGCGGTTGGCGCCGCGGGGGCCAAATCGCCCTGTCGTGACTTAGCGAAGCTGGTTCGTTGATCCCTTCCTGTGGGTATTTTTTAACGAAAAACTTGGTCAGTAAAAGGTTCTCCCTTGCTGTAACTACTCAGGTAGTCCAGAGTGACTTGTTAGTGGTCTGGACGGTTTGCGTCTAGATTGCCAACGGGGCACGACGGACTCGTTTGAGTACCAGATTCGAACGGTGCTATTATTGTGATAGGTTCCAGTACGGATAGCATGGCCATCAGGGTGCAGGGGATGACCTCTGGTGGGCGTTTGGTTCAAGGGTGGGTCGTCCCCGCGCCCGCTTTACAGGTGTCGGTTGAGTTCTCCGTCTTCCTTTTCTTAAATTTGCTTTTTTCGGGTTAAGATTATTACTATCTGCTCCTAGTCCTCATGTTTTTCCTCTTCATTCCACACTTTCCTAATCCTCCCTGCCAGAAATCGCAAGGTTCCAGAACCGCCTTTCCATTCTGGACTCCAGAATGGAGATGTTCAAAAACCTCCCGGAGCCTGGAGGTCGAACTTCCACGCTGGAGGAACCAAGCGCCCTCATAATGAATGGCGAACGTCCACAGTGGAGGTCGGGCCTTCATGTCGAAGGTCTTCGATCCCGTGGGAAGCCTCGACTTCCCCCTATCCTTGGCTACTTTCGGCTCCCAGGCCAAGAGGGCCCGAAGTGCCGCATCCCCACCCGCCAGCCCGCTTGGAGCACGCACAGTGCAGCGCGCGGCCCCCGAGATCCGATACGACGTCGCGGGACGTGCTGCAGCCCTTGGCGGCAAAAACAAAACGTGGCCGAGGTGGCCCAGCACCGGTTCCGGCCAGCAGAAGGTGAGGAGCGAAAGGACGACGCACATGTACATGAGTCCACGTTGGTTTCGAAAATATGCATTGCGCGTATGTTCGTAACAGGAGGCAGGCCTCGCGGATTCCCCTCCTCGCCACGGCTGGACGCGGCTCGGACACTGGGGCAGTTTCGACCTCGGGCGGGGTCCGCGGATCGATTTGGAGCGGATCTGCCCTCGCCGCCCCTGTTGACCGGTTTTCTCGGAGCCCATCTGGAGCCACTTTCAAGCTGGATCCCTGCACGCCACGGTCCGCACCATTCGAGCTGGGCCAATCTGTGGGGGCCCCGCGGGGCCCCCGAAGCCGAGCGAGAGCGTGCGGTGTGGAGTGAAAAAATCAGCGACGCCCAGACCTCAAAGGCCCGCCGCCTCCGATGAAGGTCGCCCAAAAGGGGTCCGAGTAGCTGGGGTCGGAGAGTCGCGCCGCATCGCCGATGCACCGCTGATGCATCGCCGATGCATCGCCGACGTCGGTGATGCGTGGAGAAGATCGGACTCCATACCGAACCGCGCCGCCGGCGCATCGGTGATGTGGCGCGATCCGCCGACCTCACCTGCTCCGAGCCCACCTGGGCGGCCTGGACCCGACGATGACCCGCTCCGCGGCACCCGCCGCCCTCGCCGCCGCCGCGCTCGGCGCCGCCGCGCTGCTCGGCGCGCGCGGCGCCGCCTTCGCCGCGCCGTCTGGCGCAGCGGGCGCGGCTCTGCACAGCGCAGCGGCGGCCGGCCGGGCCGCGCCGGCGGCCGCTGGCGCCCCGCCGGCCACCGGGGCCGCGGCGGCGCTGGCCGCGGCTGGGCTGGTGGCGTCCGGGCTGCTCGGGCGGCGCCAGGCGCGCGCCGCGGGGGCGGCGGCGAAGGCCGTGCGCCGCGACCTGGCCGTGGCGTACGAGGACTCTCCATGGTCACCCGACGTGGCGGCGCGCACTCGAGGGTGCTTCGCCTTCCCAGAAGCGGCCCCCCCCCTTGTGCCACCCCCTTTAACTTTGTACGCGCCGTCGACCGACGGGCTGGACCCGACCCGCCCGCCGCCCCCGCGGGTCCGGTCTCCCTTGGGGACTCTGCTTTCACACGCGTTTCCAGAGGAGTCCGAGCCCAGCAGGTGCGCTTCCCTCGTTTACTCCTTATTGACTCTTTCGTTCTCTTCTTCCTTCCTCCTTCTTTCCATTTCTTCCTTGCACGTGCTGAGTAATTAGCTGAACTCATCTTCAGGTCATTTGTAACACCGCCTCCAGGGTATTCCGTGACATATGGGCATTGCCGCTGCAGTGCATGTTCAGGTTGGTGTCTGGCTCGCAGGCGAAGCTCTTGATCTGCGAATGCTGAAAATTCGCTGGCCCAACGGGCCAGAGGCGTGTTTAGATCTCCGGTAACTAGTTAACAATAGTTCTAGTTCGCGCGCGCGGAGCGGCCCCTGGGGGCCCCCGGACGAAAAGTACCTTGGCCAGGTCCCGGTCAGGTCCCAATCAGGTCCCCAGAGCGCTCCAAGGGAGGGCTATTTTTCAGGATCGTGGCCTCCGAGGGGGGAGCCGCAATCGACTACCCCCCCTCCCGCCCCAAGAGGCCCCCAAGAGCCCCCCAAGAGGCCCTGGGGGCCCCCAACACGCCGCCAAGGAGCCCCAAGAGACTCCCAAGAGGTCCCCAAGAGGCCCCCAAGAGGCCCAGGGCCAGCGGAATGAGCGAAGCGATCAAATAATGGGGGTGCCTCGCCGCCACGACGGCTGGATTCGCCTCGGAATCTCGGAGCCTTTGGTCAGAGCGCACCCTGGGAGGGGTGGGCCAGTCGCTGCGTCGGTAATTATTCTTATTGTCCCCCCTCCCAGGACAGCGGCATCGACCTGCTCGACAACG